AATAATTTATTTATTTATTTATTTAACATGACGGACAGTGTTGACCGCCACAGTTGGACAGCGGAAGACAGGCGGAGAGAATGAGATTCGATTACGACAGATATACTTAGTGGTGGATGAATACGGACAGGTATACAGACAGACAGAGACCAAATCACCAGACACCAAATACCTCCTGTTTACTGTCGACTGGTGAGCCAGCCTCCTCCTGGTCGCCAGCAAGAGTTAAAGAAAGAAATAGCATGTTAGCTAGGCTTGAGTTTGTCAGCATTATTAGAAAGGGTCAAAAAAACAACAACTGTGAAGCGGGATTCATGAGCATTGCAGTGTCAGCATATGAGCCTGAAGTGAACTGGCGTGAAGGGAGAAGAGTTAGTAAATGCTAAATCCACCAAAGTGACCACAGCGCTATGCCCCTGCTGGATAAATTGGCCTGAGAAGCTTGTACTGCACATATTTACACAGGCACCCTGTAGTCCATGTCATCTCTCTGCACCAATGCTGGAGATGTCTTCAAGGTGACACAATCTCTATACATTTGGACCATATTTAATCTTAACATCTACTTAGGCACGATGGAAATTCCTCAAAAAAAAAAAAGTCACAGTTTGTCGGGAAATCTTTACTACCATGATCTCTTTCTTTCTGCTCGGGGTGACATCGCCGTCTTCGTCGTCGTGCCCCGTCTCCTCGCCCCGCTCTTGGCGACTGTCCTCCTCGTCCTGCTCCATACTGGGCTCCAGCTCGGTCTCCTGCTCATCCACGGAGGGGCTGTGGAGGCGCCGCTGTTCACCGAGGCTGCGGTGGGACAGGCGGTCGTGGTTCTCGCACATGCCTGAAACCGGCCGCGAGAACTCTGCTGGTAGCAAAGCGTTTAAATATGTACGAGACACAAGTCAGATTTCAACTGAGGTCATAAAGCGTAAAGCGTAAAAACGACAGGGTTATGGTGAGGGACTACTTCTTGAGGTTAAAACATTTGAACTGAACACAAGTAAAAAAAAAAATACACTCATCAGACCCTCCATAACCAGATGTATTAAGGAGCTACTCTCACCTCCGTCCAAGCTCCTGGACAGCAGGTACCTCTTGCTGGTGGAGCGCTCAAAGTGCGGAGCGGGCCGGTCTATAAGAGCACTGGCCTGTCTGGTTTGAGCCTGTGTCCTTCCACTGTATCGAAACTTTGAACCCATCACCAAGAAGCCCTTCGGAGGAGGCTCTGGAGACACCAGCCTGTGGAAACCCCCCCCAAAAAAAACAGTAATACTGCAACGTGTAATAAAAAGTGTGGTTGCACCTGATGGAGCTGTCACGCATGGAAATGTTTTGTTTGCCTTGATAGGCTTTGAACGGGAACCTTTTCATCTATAAGATCAGATCGATTCTTACCTGAAGAAGGTGTGATGCTCGATGCAGACCTTCCACAGCCTCTTGGCAGCTCTGTGGTTTGGAAGCTTGAAACCGATTGTGCTTTCAAACTGCTCATACTGAAGGGGAGGGAGGATAGGGAGACAGGGAGACGTGTTAAGAAAGGTGTGCGGGGCTTAGCACCAGGTGTGTTTACTCTGTTTTTGCCTAGGGGCCACCTCAGTACTTCTACGCTGAGTGAAGTTGATGGAAACCCAATATATTCATAAAATATTCAATAAGTATGCTACATCTAATTCTTGCGTGAACACTGAACCCAATCAATAAAGCAGTCTTTACTCTGTGCTGGCATGGCTAGCACTACAAAACACATTCACAACATGGATTTTGCCAACTGGACAGAAAGGAGCAGATCAAGGCAGAGGAAGAATAACATCCAATGTTCAGACACTGGGAGCTAAACTTGCTCATGGCGCTATATTTACACTCTTTATCCTTCTATTCTGGCTGCGGCTGCAGCTGTGGCCGCTCTGTTAAAGGGACTCTTTCTTTGGCTCGATCACAGGCTCACTGTGTGGCTCTTTCACTTGACTGGGTCTGGCCCAGACAGCCTGTCACACCGAGGCTCAGCATGGAAGATAAGCTGCAGCGCTGCACGGCACAATGAGGAGGGCCGGGACATCGACCCTGAACGTGCAGGGGTGCAAAACTTGGAGGTATAAAGTGGAGGATTTTACAGCCCTATGCTCAGCACAACTGACCGCACATTCATTTCTGCTGTGACTCTCAACAGTAGCAGCTGTGACATAACATCAACTATTACTGCACTCAAAATCTGAGGTAGTGGCTTCAAGGAATAGTTTGACATTTTGGGGGAAAAAGGCTAATTCGCCTTCTTGCAGAGAATAAGATGAGAAGACCAATACTATTCTCATGTCTTTATGCTAAAAATGTAGCTTAGCATATCTTAGCGTGAAGATTGGAAGCAGGGGAATATAGAGGAAAAAAAAACCCTGGCCTGGTTCAAGCATTTAATGCTTGCCCCTCAATTTGTGCAAAATTGATGAAGTGCTCCGTTAATTATCCTTCACTGTACTGCGTACCTCTCCTGGTCGTATCTTGATGTAGAAGTTGCTCCTCTTATAGGAGATCTTGAGGATCTTTGGCCAGGCAAATCGGTTGATCCTCAGCCTGTCGCGGTAGATCAGCAGGCCATTGGCACAGACACCCAACATTATGTCAATCCCTTCAGAGTCCTACAGCGAACACGGGACAGCAAAGAGGCAGACATGATTTTCCAGTGCGCATCCCTGAAACCTACTTGAATGCTTATTAAAACAACTTTTGGCAACCTTGGCATGATGGAGGTCCACCCCGTACATGGACAGTTTCTTTGCATTCTCCAGGAAGTTAATTTCAGCCTCTGCTGGAGTCATCCCCCTGTGGGCAGAACAACAATGATATCTGTAAACAACATCAACGGGCCTCAAATAATAAACCCATAATCTTGCACAGTGGGAGAGGAATTATCTTGGTAATATGCTTGATAATTTAAATTCTCCCGATCCTCCACCCCCCCCAAGCATTATGTTTGGGCATATGCCAAAAAGCAGTGGCGAAGAAGACTCTGTAACTGAGAAAGTGTTCTCGCGCTGGCACAACATCACACTGTGTACAGTACATCTCAGTGACAGATGGTGCGGCAATGTGACAGCATCTATCAGCCATATGCATGACAGGGGGGGTGTTTCGGCACAACAAAAAAGCTCATCGGCCGTTCGTTCCCAGAGGTTTGCAGATTGATTAAAAAGTCGGATTTAAACAATGTCGTGTTCATGTACTTGTAGTTTCGATGGAGCTCCATCACCCGCTCCTCCAGCTCGCGAGTCTGATTGGGGGCGAAGCGGAAATCGCAGACGTAGTCGGAGCCGTGGTCGTCCTGGTCGTAGTCCCCCAGCTCGGCCTGAACGCTGTAGGAGCCCAGGAGGGCGTGAGTGACGAACGAGCACGGCAGCCGACCTGACAGCATGTCATCCCTCAGCTGCAGACACAGGTAGTATCTGTCAGATGAGACAAAAAGGGGAGGAGAAGAGGGTGTTGGCAGTCAAACAAGCCTGAACCAAGGCAAGCTCCAACAAGTATTCAGCGCAGTTAATCCACGGCAGTTAGTGGCATTCCAGGTCTAATCCTCCAAAAGGGGAGAGGGATTTGGTTTGTTTTGACACCGGGGGTAAATACTCCATGTAAATTGCTACAATACTTTTATGTAAACACTTGTGTTTGAGGAAAATAAAAAGGCATCTGCAGAACTGACATGTGCGTAATTTCTCCTCTAAAGAGCATCCGACAGCACAGCCAGAGGAGTGACAACTGTTAATAATGTAAGAGCACGTATGGGTAAAGACGTGTCCTACCTGGTAATATCCTCTGTGAGCTGGGAGGGGTCTGGAGGGTAGAACTTGACAGAGAAGGCAAAGTGCCACGGAGAGTCTGAGGAGAAATTACAACGAGAGCCGGAGGGTTAACCTCTGTCTGAGGAAAATTGCACAAAAAAATGTAAATACAAGGCTTTGCATCAGCTCGTGTGCCAAGAAATCTGCTTTCACGACTTTACTCATCATCTTTCGGAAAAGACACTCACTGCGCATCTGCTTCTTGATCTCCTTGGAGGGGTCCAACCAGTTCTGAAAGACAGAAGGCAGAACTCACACAGGGCAGACCGGGAACATGGCTAATGCACACCCCAGTGTCACATTTTGCTCTAATTGCCGTCAAGTGTTCCTAATGGAAGCCTTTCCATATGGTTAAATAAAGGAACTGAGCCTACCCTGCTGAGCTGTTCAAATGTGCAGGGAGCAGATTTAATTCAAGCATCCGTTTCTTCATTGTTTTGCAAAAAAAACAAAAAAAAAAAAAATAAAAAATCACCACCAGCCAGTTACCTATCTGCTCGCATCGCATGTGACCGTGCAGTGAAGGGGGCACAATTTCTGATTTAGTTTGCTGGAGCATCTCATCAGCGGCGCAGTAGTGCAGTTGTGCACACTGACTCGCTCGGAACAGAAGCTGTAAATCATGCTGTTTAGAGGCACAGCTGCACAGCAGACGGCAATGAAGAGACTAATGAAATACCTCCCTCGCGTACTTTTACCTCTACCGTTACCTCCCTGCATGCTCATGGACTCTACCGCTGCATATTCATCCTTTTACTACCTCCGCCAAGGAGGTTTGTTGGTCTGTTTGTTTGTCGGTTTGTCAGCGGGAATACGGAGAAGAAACGAATGTCTCGATTTTCATGAAACTTGGTGGAAGGGTGTATGGGCCAAGGACGAACCCATTAAATATTGGAGCGGATCCAAATCACGGAGCGGATACACACGTTATTTTTCACTATTGATAAACAGCCTTGGCGGAGGGCTGTGCTCTGGAAGAGTTTCTACAAACCAATGGCCTTCATCAGGGTCATCTTCTTTGTTGATAAAGAGGAGGTATTTACTCTAAAGGTACCTCTTTAGTGTGTATAAATATAAAATGAGATGCATTATGAAAAACACATCAATTCATAAAACACTACTATAACAATCTATTAATTGAGATGAATTAAAAGTCAAGACACATTGATCTCAGACTGTTTTCTCTTTAGCGCTGTATCAATGTAGGCTATATTAAATTCAGCAAGGGTGAGTTTTACCGCTTATGATACCGTCTCACTTTAAGGTCAGCCGGGCTAACTCGCTAATAGCAAATGTGTTGAGTTGGTTTACCTTGAAATGGGAAAACCTCACTTGTCAGAAGCTTCTTTATTCCTGTCCTCTGAGGTTTAATTATCTCTGCATGTGATAAAGGCGCACATACATTGAACTCCAGCCTCACAAATCATTTTCACATTTCAAGAAGAAGGTCTGAATGCGTTTCCCTCTGATCTTAAGCTCAAGTTCCCCAGAAATCCCCACACTGGATCATACTTGCATGTTTTGGGACTGCCCAATATTATATAATCTCTGGGAATATGTCACTTTTATCCTATTGTTGAACATTGACAGAGTGTGGTGCCTTTATACCCAGCTTTACTATTTCTTCACAACTAAAGTTTAACCATTACTAACGTACAAAAAAAGAATCTTTTCAGCATTCATAAGAAACAACAATCTGTAGTCACTGGAACTTTGGAACAGGAGTGCTGTGAGCTTAGTGCTAACGCTAGCATGACAACATGTTCACATGCTACCATGCTGATGATTAGCAGGTATAATGTTGACCATGTCCAGCCTCTCAGTTCAGTGTGTTAGGTTGTTAACATTTGCTAATTAGCACTAAACACAAAGTGCAGCTGAGGCTGATGGGAGTGTCATTCGTTTAGAAGCTATTTGGTCATAAATCAACATAATGGACATTAAAATGTTTACCACTCTTGTAAGCTGTGCTGCTAATGGAGACAAAAGGTCCAAAGTCATTAGGATTCATTAGCATCGTGGATATCTGAACCAAATTGTATGGCAATCCACTTAATAGTTTTTTATGCAATTTATCAAAAACGTCAACCCGTGGGTGGCACTAGGTCAAAAGCTGGGGATCAACAATGTCAGGATTTTTCATCTTCTTGGGACCATGAATGTATAAAACGCCATGGCCATCCATCGAGTAGTTGTTGAGATATTTAAGTCTGGGCCAAAGGGGCGGACCGACCGACCCACCGACTGACCGACATCGCAATTCAGTGCTGCTGCTAGCATGACTAAAGTCAAACTAAAATAACTCAGTAAAAATGACTTATACTTCCTTACACACAGAGCAACAGGTGTAAATATAAGTTGTTACTTTGATCCTCACGTTTACACACTTAAACAGGTGTTTGATGCATGCTACATAGTTCTGTGCTGCTCTTTGGGCAGAGAGCTGACAGTAATCCTCACTAACCTGAATGCCTCGCAGCGACCGCTTATTATGCCGACAGTCATTTTGGCATCTGGTCTCACATCAGTCAGAGTGGAATCAGGAGTGTGAGAGGTTGACACAGCACAGTGCAATCCTGTGGCCGTGTTGGGCAAACTGCGAGCAGCTGGCAATTTGAACTGCGCCTTCACGTTCACATACACACACACACACACACACACACACCTACTCAAGTAGACGGGCACAAATACACATGCTCCTTCAGTGTTTAATCAGGCTGCTAAAGACTTTAATGAGCCGCAGGCATTTATCGTCCCCCTGAATCTATCATATATCAGCCAAGGCCAAAGAGCACTCAATTAGCACAGCGCTCGCTGCTGCGTTGCTTTTCTCTTGCAGAAAAGCAGCAGGAACTTTTTAAATCGCAGACTCTTCAAGGCTTCGCTCTTGCTTTTGCAACCTCAGTTCATAAAGCAATCACAGGGAATACATGCTCTCACGAAGAGCGAAGATTAAATCCTTGCTTCCCCAACTGAGACAGAGAAATTGACATTTCAATTCTAAGGTTTGTTTGGTCTACCAATCAGCGATGACCCCAGGCAGTAGTATCAATCTGCAGTCTTTGACGAGCCCGTCATATTGATCTAAGCCTGTAGTCTCACTTACACTCAGAGAGAGGAAAATATTTGAACTTCAAGCCTGTTAACCTCCTTAACACCCCCAGTTAACTTGTCTGTATGGGCTGAGATCAGGCTAAATCCAAAGCCGTCAGACACGGACCAAGTCACAACATGTGAGCTGACAAAGTAAGTGCAAGCTGATGACAGTGACAGCGGATATGCTCCAGATGGTAAAAGGGACTTAGACTTGTCATCTTTCCTATCTTCAAAAGGCAGGAGGTTCTTCTGTTGTGCAATCACATACCCGCCCTCAGGGGGGCTCGCATCAATCGAGAACCGAAGCCCACGTCAGACAAGGAGCCCTAAAGCGGGCCCACAGCTAGGGCCCACAAGGTCAGTGTCATTTACTTGAAGATAATAAGCCTGGTCTGTCCACCCAAAGACGTAAACAAAGATCAGAGGGAAACATATTCAGACCGTCTACTTGAAATGTCAAAATGATTTGTGAGCTGATTGGTGTTTAATGTATGCATGTGATTATCAAAAGCAGAGATAATTAAACCTCAGAGGACAGAAGCAATGAACCAAAGTATTTCCGACGAGTGAGGTTTTTTTTGGGGGGCAAACCAACTCAATACTTTTGCTATTAGCGAGCTAGCCTGACTGACCTTAAAGTAAGACTTTGAAACATTTGATAGAAGACATAAAACAATCCAGTCCCAAATGTAATGTTGAATTCAATACACATTATGGGGTTTTACTGCCACAGCCTTACTTGGTCTGGAATGACCAGTTGCTCACAGGGGCTAATGTAAGCACATGTTAGATAGCTATTGTCGTGTAACTGACATTTCTGAGTTAGATTGCTTTCTTTGGGGCTTTTTCCACTTGTGCTATTGTTACACTATGTTTTAGCCTCTGTTCAGTAAACATTACAGAGGCTTGCTTTAATCTTAAAACGTTTCTATAACTATGGGCTTTAAGCTAGTAAGCTGGCCTGCTTGCATTTTGACCAAACTCTTCTTCAAATGTTCCTGTTGGCTTCAGTCAAGGGAGCTTTAAAGGTTCTCCTATGTACGGGATATACGATATGTTAATATAGCAGCAAACAGATATTTGCAATGTAAAGATATTGTGGAGTAACGGCGTCCTAAACATTGTTTACACCGTTTGTGCTGTTAGCACCGTTAGCTGCTTGCCGCTGGCTTAGCCGTCGCCATGTTGAATTCCGTAGAGAGAACCTTTAATGATTATTTCTTGTACAAACGTCTTGCAAAGACTGCACACGTTTTTCAATTGCCCGTGGTCCAGACCCATTTTCCATTCATCTTTAGATAGTGCCCAGCCAACAAGTGAGAGGAATACAGATTGTTCTGTGAGCAACGTGTTTGTGCACTGAAACATCCCCGTGAGGTTACAGTGGTACACTGTATCCACTGACCTTCTGGGTGTCCGTGTCGGCAAAGGTCAGGCCAAAGTAGTCCTTCTCCAACAAGTTGAGGTGCTCACACACCATGTCCATCAGGGTCTGTCCTTTGGAGTGTTTCTGCAAAGATACAAAAACATGTATGACATAGCAGCGGTAAGAAAGGTCAACGACAATGCAGAAGAAAGATTCTCTGCTATATTTCTGCAATACCATACGTGCAAAAGAGTCTACTGCTGGTGTAGCTCAGGTTTATTGGGCTAAATTTGGCTCATCAATATCAGCCCCCATTAGACAGCTGTGCTTTGCCAAGATTGCTTTTCTGTTCTCTGGGTTTTGCACAAAACAAAGCAGCTCAGCCTTTTGGTGCTGTATCACAATCGTTGTGTGATTCAAACACTTGACAGTGAAAATGGACTGTGAATTGCTGGGGGAGATTGCTCTTTGTGCTGTAGGCAGAGATTTACTCTTCTATTGACAGAGTTCAAGATGGACATTTCAGGAAGATTTCCATTACATTCAAGTGACAAGTTCATGTTTTCCCATTTGAGGGAGAGTTTCACTGTGGTTTCTTTCAGGATGCACAAATAAGCATTTTTGCTCACAGTGTTGAAAGAGCCTCAGACTGGATTTAGCAGAGATCAGTATATCCTTGGTGTACAGCCTGGATGGTAGACATCTAGTCTACCAAACTAGAGAGCTGGAGAAGGAAACAATTCAATATTTTAGGCACCAAGTTAATTTTAGCCAATTATCTTCTTTTTTTCCTGGATCAATTTTTCCACCTTTCTAATATTGTAATCTGAGCGAAATGTAATGCAATACAACAACTATATTTCTTAGTAAGTGAGATATATATATTTAGATTTGAGTATGGATTGGATCTAGTTCCTGTCACATTCCATTAATAACAATAGTGCTTCAGATGCTTTACATCCCATTCAGTAATAGTATGCAAAACCATAGTCTCACAATAATCATCGCACCCAACATCCTTCCCTGATGATGACCCGGATATAAACACAGAAGAGCACATGTTGACTACCTTTGAAGTAACTCCACCCAGTGTCAATAAATAAGACCAAGAGTCTGCAGCTGTGCTAACAGCTTTGTGAAGCCGTACGTTGAGCTAAAAGCTGTAGTCGGCATGCTAACATGCTCACAGTGACAATGCCGATGTTAAGCATGTACTGTTTAGTACGTTTAATCATCTTAGTTTAAAGTGTTAGGATGCTGACATTTGCTTATTAGTATTAAACATAAAGTACAAATAACTATAATGGGAAAGCCATTATTTTTGTAGGTATATGCTCATTAATAGAAGTTCAATTGAAATTTTGACCTGATGATGGTGATAATGAAAAGTTAGGGGAACACCAAAGTCTCTAAAATGCATCATCTTGGGACCATGAATGTCTGAACAAAAAAATGTTTAAAGCTATTTTACTGGATAAGTGGAAAAATGTTGCCCTGCCGCTAGCGCAACAGGGAAAGTCAGGGAAACACCAAAGTCACTGAGAGTCATCCTCTGAGGAACATGAATATCTGTACCAAGATGTATGACAATCCTACCTATTGGGAGAATATGTCACACAAAACCAAAAAAAGTCAACCTCGTGGTGGCACAAGAGGAAAAGTCAGGGGATCATTAAAGTCATTAGGATTCATCATCTGGTGACTATGAATGTTAACAAATAATAATCCACCCAATAATTGAAGAAATATTTCAGTCTGAACCAAATTGGTGGACCCACACATCAACATATACGTATTTCTAAGTATGCAGGTAGTGCCTGTCAGTGCTTCAGAGGGTTTATATCCCGTTCTGTTATAGAATGGAAGAGGCTAAAGACATTAATTGGGTTAGCACACATGCCCCCCCAGCTTGAAGGTCATAAGTTCAAAACCTGGTTAACAAATCTCTAAATGTTTTTTATCCCTGTGGGGTTTCGATATCTACAAAAAGGAATAACACTAATCTTATTTTAAGTAATTTAATTCCCTTGAATTGATTGGTTTGTAATTGAATTAACAGAACGTCATTCACTGCACTGGCAGGCAAGCCAGAATGCTCATATCAAAACAGTTTTCGCTTTAATTTGATAGGGCTAATGAAATGTTGACTCGGAATCATCAATTTATGCACGGGCTGATACGTCATTGTTAATTATAGAGCGAGGAAGACGTATGGTAAAGTTCAGGCCTAACACTGAACCACACATGCAAAGTATTATGCTCTGTACACACACACACACACACACACACACACACACACACACACACACACACACACACACGGTGCCTCCTCCCCTGGAGCTCACTGTGTGAGGTGACGGAGAGAAGGAGCAAGCAGTTGCCAGGGAAACAGATGCAGTATTATCCCTCTGCTGTCTCGTTTCTTAACATCTTAAGGCTAGGACTTCAAAAAGAAAATGTCACTTTTGCCTCATTATGAGTGGAAGGACGCTGGAGCGATACTTGCGACGTGCGTATTAGCTCCCGTCATGTCGGTCAGTAGGTCCCTGACTGCAACATTTGTCAACGTAAAGCAAGAGTATGCTGTGTGACAGCGTAGAGTTAAATATTTAAATGTACAGTAATGATCTCAAGAGTTGCCACCAGAATGGACACCCAAGAGAACCTTGGCGGGGTAAGAAGACAACTAACCAGCATGAAACACCAAAAATAGCCCCCTGCTCTGCACATCGGGGCAGCTAGGCTTGACGATGCAGAGTCAGGCTGGTTACAGCCCAGTGAGCAGAGGGGGGAAACTGGGTGAGAGAAACGGTTATGGGCGTGGTGCCTCCTCTCCCGGCCGAGGACCACGGGGAGGCTCAGCTATGCATCCATGACAAGAGACTTAATTAACCCACCTCCTCCGGGGAGAAGCGTGGCTTGTCTTCTCGCAACGCTGTCATTACTGACTCCTGGAAGCACAAGGGAGGTTCGGAACATAGCGAGTATGACGTTCCACAAACCAGCAATTAAAGACAGGAAGTGAGAGCAAGCCTGCCAATGACCTGGAGGTCTGATGCTCTCTCCAAACTGGAATTACAAATTTAAAAAAAACATGGGCTGACAATTGGCTGCTTTGTGTAACCTTCTCCGGCAATGACTGGCAGTGCTGCAAGGGCGGGCAAATATTTAGAGGAGGAGCACTTAAGACACAAAAGCTGTCATAACCATAATGCTAACTATTGTTGTGTTGACGCCCAAAAAGGCCCCACGGTATTTCTTGGTGTGTTTTGCAGTGCTGAGAGAGCGGTTGGTGCAAGCGTAACATTCCTGATATTCTTACCTCACACATTCACATATAAAAAGGCGTCCTCCCCCCAACACACACACACACACACACACACACACACACACACACACACACACA